CGACGTACAACAGATGCAAGCCACCATGCGCAACATCTTCCTTGACGAGCAAACGTGCAACAGAACCAAGGGCCAAATCGCTGGCCGCGGATTCGCCATGGCTACCAAGACATCTGGCCCCATCTGCTTCGAGTGCAACGAACCGGGACATGTCAGGAGGAACTGTCCCAATCGCCAGCGGGAGGGCCATAGGGCAAAGAAGACGAAGCCTGCGGGAGCAACCAAGTGGTGCTCCGTCCATAACACCACTACACACTCCGACGAAGAGTGTTACAACCAAGGAGCCAAGCGACCAGAGCGCACGGCCAAGGCCTTTTCTGCATGCACACACTGCGTGCACTGCTCAACCCAGTCAAGAGACACACACGCCAAGCCTACCACAACGGAAACTCCCAAAGAAACAGAGAAGACCGAGAAGGCAGAGATCGACATCTCTTACGACGAAGACGCATTCAAGGGTGGATTCATGTACCATGCTATATGCAGCAAGGAAAGCGGACGCACTTTCACGAATACTGCAACTGGGACTTCAGCCCTGGTGGATTCTGGAGCTTCTGAGACCATGTTCGACAACCGCCTCATCCCGAATGGACGTCTCGAAGAAGAACGCCCGACGCCCAAGATCATCGACGTTGCAGGAGAAAGCCAACTACGAGGCACTACCACTGGGATCCTACACTGCACCATCAAAGACGACAAAGAACAGCAACTACCCGTCAAGCTACAAGGTCTCATCGTGCCAGGACTAGGCCGGAACATCTTCGCTCCAACGGCCCTTCTCAAGAAGGGCCTCCGATGTGTCCTGGAAGACAAGACCCCACACCTCACCATCGGCGGAGAAGTCGTCGTTCCTCTGAAACAAGAGACTCAAGACCAAGGCATGTGCACCCTCGCCATCACATTCAAGGGCGATCCAGCGTCGACAAGCAAGACACCCCCGAACAACCAAGAACCAGGGCGCAAGCCGAAGTTCGGAAAACCAGAAGCGGTACAGATCGATCACACTCTGCACGCGACATGCTCAGTGGCGATGAGCGTGAGCGCCGACCTCTGACACCGGCGCCTCGGGCACATCAATCCAAGTGCTATGGAGATTTTACGGCGCAACCCCGTTACAGGTGTGAAATATGACGGACCTGTATGCCCGTGCGACAACTGCCACATCACGAAGCACAAGAAGGCTCCCGTCTCGAAGAAGACCAGCCGTGTCCTGACCAAACCAGGCCAACTCGTCCAGTTCGACAACATGGGACCAATCGACCCGCCTGCGAAGTACAACGGACGCACCTACTCCTACGTCGCCAAAGCGACCGACGTCTTTACCAGAGTGCGGGAACTGTACCTACTGCGCGACAGGACCGAAACCACGCAAGCTCTGCACGCCTACAACATGCAAGTAGCATCTGAAGGCTACCGCATCGAGGTTCTACGTTGTGACAAAGGCGGAGAGAACACTGGGGAAGAAATGCGCAACTACTGTAGGGAGTCTGCGATCAAGCTGGAATTCGCCGCGACCAACACGCCCCAAGAAATCGGAGTGTCAGAAAGGGATGGCCAGACACTTGCGGCTGTGACTCGAGCTCTACTGCGCGATGGAGACTTCCCAAAACACATGTGGGGGGAGCTCATGATGACTGCAGCATACCTGACCAACAGGACCCCACACGCGGCGCTAGGGGGAGCCACGCCGTATTCCAAGATGTACAACACAACCCCGGACCTTTCTCGACTTCGTGCCATCGGCGCCCGCGCGTTCGTTCATCACGAGCGATACAAGAAGAAGCTAGACGATCGGGCCTTTGAAGGCAAGCTCTGCGGTTACGGACCTGACAGCAAGTCGTACCGGATCTATGTGGAGGGCAAAGACAAGGTCTACGAGAGCTGGAACGTACTTTCATCGAGACTCGGCCCAACACCATCCCCCCTCACCGGTGGGACGACCGTCTCGAATATGAACAGGANCAGCAAGACGTACCGGATCTACGTGGAGGGCAAAGACAAGGTCTACGAGAGCCGGAACGTGACTTTCATCGAGACTCCACCCAACACCATCCCCCCTCACCGGTGGGACGACCGTCTCGGATATGAACAGGACGTGATGAACTTCACGTCATTGCTCGGACGCCGTACCTCTACGGGCGACGAAGACAACAAAGTGGACTACGGAACATAATCAGAGCTCCTACTGCACGAGATGCGCAACGTGCAGCAAGACAACATCAACCGAACAGAACCTCGCCACAACAACGCGGACATGGATTCCGACGACTACTTTGCTGCTGGGGGAGACGACATCAATGACAACTCGCGGACTACGACACCATCCAGGACATCGCAGGACACGACACTCGAATCACCCACGACGCCAACAGACACGGACTCCGCTTCGCCAGCCCCCATCTCAATGCGTCGATTAACGGTGACCCGTCCTGCCACGCGCACTCACCAACCCACAGATGACCCTATCGACCCTTCATGCATCCCGNACACGGACTTCGCTTCGCCAGCCCCGATCCCAATTCGTCGATTAACTGTGACCCGTCCTGCCACACGCACTCACCAACCCACAGATGACCCTATCGACCCTTCCTGCATCCCGAAATCTCTGGAAGTGAACATGAACGACAGAGGCCGCTCTACCATGGCTGTCAGCCACCCC